GAGTAAGGCCATGTGAATGGCCCCCCTCACTGCAGCGTGCGCGGCACATTCCCATCCCGAGATCCTACATGTGTGCGTGGCATGTTATGTGAGTGAGGGGGGAGAGGGGCTTATTCTGTTAAAATGGTTTGTTGGCTCCGTCTGAACATGTTGAACGATGATTGTTAAATCAAACAACAGTATTGTTGATTATAAATTTAAAGTTTTGTTTTTCCAAAACACTATAAATCCATTCATTCTTTTCCAAAATGCTATACATCCATCCATTTATTTCCTAAAAGTTGTTTGTGTATGTGTGTTATGTGTGAACATGCAACATTTGACATCAAGGACTCATACAATAAATGAATATAAATCAAAATAAGTGCAAATGCATTAAATAAATTAAATAAATAGTAAAATAAAATAAATATTGTGGTGACAGCTTCTCGGTCGCAGCAGCCTTCTTTTTTTGTTGTTTTTTGTGGTTTTCTTTGTCCAGTCAGCGTTTTCTACCTCCAGCTTTTGGTCTCACTGGCTCATCGATGCCATCAAAAGGGTTTAAAGCACTCATTTTGAAGAGGACACTAAACAAGATCGCAACAAAACTCCATCGCCTCAGAGCACTGCCAAGTTCAATTAAGTTGCACACTCAGCGAATTCTGATTGGTCGAGAGTACATATCACGTTTTGACAAAAAATAGGTACGCCGCTTATTGCAGTTTGGATAGAAACGGCATCTTGCAGTACATCTTAAACAAGGAAATATAGCGATTTGGCATGAAATGTTGATGGAGCAGTGAATAGGTTCAGTGCACAGCAAAATAGCATGACAAACTCATTTTTTTAAAAATTTGTCGTTCATCGCGTTTTGGAAAAGAGCTCTTCACATGGAGATATACATGATCCTGACACAGGGCACGATTAGCGATGGAGACCTCAGGACACTCTGGGATCTACCTCCTGCTGGGGGGTGCCGGAACACCACCTTGACCCAAAAGCAGGTCATGCTGACATACCTAAAACAAAGGTGAACAGATTTCATACAGAAAACGTGTCTGAAACACTCAGCGAGAGTATCAATCACAGCCCCATTAAATAACCATTCAGACTTTGTGAATACTGATCTCAGTTTCTCTCTGGCCTACAGGGGAAGTGAATGTGTCCTGGGATGATATTTTAGCATCGCTGACTCAGAGCACAGATGGCATGAGAGATGAGAGAGGAAGAGAGAGGGAGGGTGAGAAAGAGAAAGAATAATCAGTGTAACTGGGGAAAAAACACTAACTCTCCAGCAAACAAACCACCGTCCTTCCTGTAACGGTCACTCTCCAGCAAACAAACCACCGTCCTCGCTGTAAAGGTCATTCTCCATCAAATAAACCCCCGTCCCCGCAGTAACAGTCACTCTCCAGCAAACAAACCACCGTCCTCGCTGTAAAGGTCATTCTCCAGCAAACAAACCACCGTCCTCCCTATAACGGTCACTCTCCAGCAAACAAACCACCATCCTCCCCGTAACAGTCACTCTCCAGCAAACAAACCACTGTCCTCCCCATAGCACAGATGGCATGAGAGATGAGAGAGGAAGAGAGAGGGAGGGTGAGAAAGAATAATCAGTGTAACTGGGGGAAAAAACACTAACTCTCCAACAAACAAACCACCGTCCTTCCTGTAACGGTCACTCTCCAGCAAACAAACCACCGTCCTCGTTGTAAAGGTCATTCCCCATCAAATAAACCACCGTCCTCCTCGTAACGGTCACTCTCCAGCAAACAAACCACCATTCTCTTTGTAACAGGAACTCTCCAGCAAACCAACCACCATTCTTCCTGTAACAGGAACTCTCCAGCAAACCAACCACCATTCTCCCTGTAACAGGCACTCTCCAGCAAACAAACCACTGTCCTCACTGTAACAGGAACTCTCCAGCAAACAAATCATCGGTTTTGCTGTATTGGGCCTCCCACCATACAACCAGGCACGCTCGCCAAAACTGACATGATTCACATTGCGTTCTGATCCAGAACTAAAGCAGAAAGTCAGTAAAACACCAGAAGAGGATGAAGCAGGTGTCAGAGAAACTGTGGGTGATTCAGCAGCTCTGCAGGAGTGTGTGTGTGTGTAGGGGGGGTCACTCCAAACAAGCAGTCAGGCCACAAACAGACACACACAGCCCATATATTTATATCTTGGTGAGGACTCTCCATTCACTTCCATGGGCATAACCTTAATTAATCCTCACTATGACGACCCCTATGTATCCCTAACCTTTACCCTAAACAACCAAACAAAGTACGAAAATTTAGGCTATAGCAGTTTTATGAAAATCTCTCTCTTTGGGGGGGAGGGAATGTGCCCATGAGGTTTTAATCACATTGTGGGGACATTTGGTCTACACAATATAGTATATGCATGACTCCCTCCCCCCGACACACACACACACACACACACACACACATACATATATACATATATACATATATACATACATACACACACACACACACACTTACTTAAAAATGCAGTGTCCCCCCATTCCATCTCTCTGGCTTATCATGTACAATTATGTAACACAATGGAACACCAAACTGGAGAAGCACACAGGGCAACTGGGAGATCTCTCTGGGTCGTGTTACACGATCGATAATCTTCAAGGTTACCGGAGGAGGCCGTGGGGGGTGTCTGCTCCGAGCTCGAGCTACAATGATGTGGTAGGGAGCTCAGGACAGGGGGAGAGAGCCTGGGAAAGCAGCGGCTCGATGTTTTGAACTCAGCACATGGAGCCTCAAATACTGCTCATGCCATGAGGGTAGATTGACTGTTAACAGCCCTACTGTCACAGACACCAAAACATGGATCATTATATAATCAGATCAATAGAAGACACAGCAAAGGCACTATTAATCTAACACATAGGCAGCTGTACTTTTATAAATGTAATTTCTATCATGGCAGATCCCTGTATTTGTTTAACTAAAGGCTTTCAGGAAGCAGTAGGATCAGGACATTGACGTCATCATCCTAAGACCATCATCCTGTCAGACATTCTGAGCCTCAGGGGGTCAGGGGTCAGCTGCACAATAGCACCCAAGGCAACATGGCAAGCAGAGCTGATATGGAGTGCTCCTTCCTGCTGGCATCCTGGGCTGACGGGGGCATTTTTACCACACATTTCCTCCAGTGTCACGAAG